ATATATATTTATTATATTTTAAAAATACAAATTAAAAAAATCATTGTTTTTTTTATTCGAAAAAAAATCATTGTTTGTTTCTATGGAACTATTGAAGTATTGATAAAAATAAAATATTAAAAAATAAATAAAAGAAAAAAATTTTCAAACCGGTCAACAATTCAGCATTATAATTATACTACTACCGTCAAGCGGGTCTGTGGTCCAATTGGTTGGCCTCCAAGCTTTAAGGTTTGGGTGAGGCGGAGATCAGGGTTTCGAGTTCTGCCACCGCCGTGAACTCCACCAACTTGCGACCTAATGGTCGCATGCCTCAAATGAGGGGGTGGAACATTCACTTTCCTGAATAAATTTCAGCTACTAACAAACTAACTTTTTAACCATCTACTAACTTCTTAACCATCTACCTGGTCAAAAAAAAAAATCCTACCTGTCATCTTTAAGAGAGAGAGTGTGTGCGGGGCCTGCGGACGAGTGCTGGGGGGCGAGTGTCCCTAGCATTACTCTAGTGAGTAATTGCCCGAATGAAAAAGCGAAGACTCTGAAGATTATTCAAAGATACTGCTAGACATTGCATTTGGTTGACTTGAAAGACTTCGATTTTTCAACTTCTTTGCATCAATTCACTCTGGTAATAATGGTTCATATTCTTGAACCAAAGAACCAGCTTAATATATCTAATGATTTATCATTAAATTTAAAATTTAAAATTTAAATAATTGAGAGTCTTATTTTTACTAATTACTTGAAAAAAATTATTCTCTTCCCTGAAACTTCCCATGCTCGAAAAAAAAAAAATCTAGAACCAATGGGGTTGAGGAACGGGAGATATTGATGGGTGAATTTGGAGAATGTGACATGGAATGCAATTGCCTTAATGAAGAAGCAAGTGAAGCTAGCTCGAAGAAAGTTAATGAGAGGAAATTCCGTGCAGTTGGTTGACTTAAAGACTTTGGCATTTCAACATCTTTGCATCAATTTATTATTAATTCCATTGAAAAGAACTCTTCCACTGTATATAGTGGAAGGAACATTGGAAGTATGAAAATTAGAACAGGTAGAAGACAAACTGATGGGAATACGAGTAGTCATTCCTCATAGGCTTCGGGAAAAAGCAGGCCGTGGAAAATGGGATTGCTTTACGCGCTTTGCGTCCCATCCACGTAGATTTAAGTTTTCTCCTTGACTTGGAGTATACTGATCGATCCTAAGAGC